ACCTAATTCTGATTTTACTTTGTCTGAAGATACAAAATACAATTTACCTAAAAGAAATAAATCTTATTATTATTATTATTATTATTATTATTATTATTATTATTATTATTATTATTATTATTATTATTATAATATTAGATTATTATCTTTTAACTAAAAGATGTAACTTGATAGATACTGCACACAGATTTGGGAAACACATATTACATGTGCATGAAAAGAGAACAGAACAGATAGATTTAGGCAGTGGGAGGAAAGAATGTGCAGTGGGAGATTGGATTGAAGAGTGTTCGAGGTTGGTTCAACGTACAAGGAAGCAGAAAAGAGTGTTTGTAAGCAAAAAATAGTGAAGTGTGTGCACAAGGGAAGATTGGGAGGAAAGATCCAAATATATAGCGAGAGAGAGATAGCTTGCAAAATAGTGAAATGCAGGGATCAAAGGATAATAGGAGGATATTCACAAACATGGTCCATCACTACGAGAGATTAATCTCCACTCTGCATCATGATACGATAAATATATACATAAAACAAATTTAAAAAACCAGAAAGAAAACACAAAATGAAAAACTACAAAAAGGAAATGGCTTGAACAAAGCCTTAGATTCCTCCATCCTCGAATCAACGCTACTTCAAAAACAACAACTCACCATAAAATGACTATATAATATAATGCTAATAATCATCTATTATATATTTTGATCAACATTTTTATTCATCCATTCCAATTAGAATTGGTAGTTTGAGTTGTGTATTAACATGAATGGAAGAAGCAAATGAAACATGCAAAATCTCAGAAAATGCAATCTCCTATTACACTAACAGGTTATTTTTCTCAAGAAGCAACATGCAAAGTTCTCTTCCTCAATAATGATCTCTACACTATTCGATCCTAAGAAGCAAAAGAACAAACACCTGGAGTGCATGTTTACTGCGTCATTGTTTAAGAAATTTCAAAGAAATCTGGAGTTCAAAGTTATTATTCAAACAACAAATTAGCATGCAAATTCAGGGAGATCAGTGAGAATCCTCAAAAAGCAGTCATATGCTTACCTATTTCGTCTATGCAGCTAACACGATCTGTAGAAATTTCCCCACAATTTTTTTTTAAATAATCAAAATAATGAAATTAGGAAATAAGGAAAGATTTGGATAAAATACCTAAGCTAGTTTTGGCAATACTTCCGTCGACAAGGGAGAACGGCAGCGTCTCGGGCTTCTAGTTCTGGTTCTGCTTGCGTCGGCAGTGGAGGACGGCGACATCTCCGGCTTCTGGCTCTGCTTGCATCGACAGGGGAGGACAACAACGTCGCCATCTACTTGTTATTCTACTTGCGTCGGCAGGGGAGGCGACAAGAGAGGACGAAAGATGGCGGCTGTTGCTTCTGCTTCGTCGACAGAAAGGGAGAGTTGAGGCGTTGTGTGTGGGGAAAAACTGCATCGTTACGGTTACTTGGTTAGAATGATTATTTAGGATTTAGGATTTTGGAGAAGATGGATTTTTGGTAAATTTAGTATTTAGGAATTTTTAAGAATTTTAAGGATTAGGAATTTTAAGTTTTAATTTAAATTGCATTTAAAAAAGTTTTAATTTAAATTTTTAATAGCTAAATTTTGGATTTAGGAATTTTTAATTGTTAAAGGTTAGTATTTGAAATTTTATATATATATATATATATATATATATATATATATATATATATATATATATATATATATATATATTGATTGTAATATAGATTTTAAGAATTAAAAATTTGGGTTCGAATTTTAATTTTTTTTATTTAATTTGTCTTATAAATATTATGTGGTTTTGAATTAATGATTACAATAAATATACTTCAAAAATATTTGAGAAAATTAATTATTTAATTATTTTTAAAATTTGTGTACAATCAAAATTTTTTTATATTTAAATATTCATCCAAACTTTAATTATTATCTTTAAAAGTGTGTGAAATTCGGTGAAAATTTGTTAAATGATCGAACCAAATAATTCAATTAATTAATTTTTAAACAAAATATTTTAGTTCGATCTATGGTTAAAGATTTTTACAAATTTTAGTTATTGATAGCGTGGTTATAAAGTATTGGTTAATTGAATTAACATATCGATTAAGTATATAGTTAGTGTATGTGTGTATATCAAACACTAAATCTAACACGAAAGGTAAAATATGTAAATGTTTAGTACCATTTTAAATATAAGATAAAAATGATTATTTTTATATAATCAAACTGAGTATTTTAAACTTCAAGTAAAAATAATAGTAAAGATGAATATTGTTGTAGATAGTTATAAACGATAATAAAAATGATGTCCTAACAATTTTTTATATTAAAATAAATTCAATTTATAATTTAATATTAAACCGTAAAAGTTAACTTAATTTTTGTTAAAAGTGGAATTTAGTGTATTATAATAAGTTTACTGTTATTATGAAATACTCCATTTGTTCCTAATTCCATGTCACATTGCCTTTAGCAAGATTTTTAATACAAGAAAAACACGTATTTCTATCTTTCCAATTATGTCCTTCAAAAGTAGGTGTCATTTGTATAAAGTATAATTTTACTTACCTCATTAATTGTCTAGAAATTTGAAGAAGTAAAAAGGGAAAATTGTAAAATGTAAAATAATAGTTATGTTCAATTTAGAATAAAAGACACTATTTCGGGACAAACTTAAAAGGAAAGTAAGGCAGGTAAAATGGGATGGAGGGAGTAGTGATGAAAGAGTTATGCAATTTAGTTATAGCATATGAATTAATATGTAATTTAAAATTTTCCACTTTTATTAATGCTAACCCTGATGCAAAATTTGACCATTAAAAAATTATAAGTTTTAGTTAAAGAATAAAATAATCCAGCAACAGAAAGCACGACCATCGCAAGTTACGTCACAAGGGTGGGTTGTTGGGTTTGGGCTAGTTGGGTCAGATTAGATCTGGGCTAGATTATAATATCAGAATAGTTCATGTGATTATAATAGACTAGATTATTTTTTTCTCAAAATTTATAACTTGGGTCTTAACATATAATATTTTATGAAATTTATTTTTAAATAAGATAAAGATTTTTATTTTATACATCTAAATTAGATTTGTAAAAATAATTGTATTGTAATAATGTGTGCTTAATCATATTAAACATGATTAAATTTTAATTAATTTATAAAATGAATATTGTGCCATGCATGATGCATTGCCCAAGTAGAATTATTTTGCTAGATCAAATTAAATTTCAATTATATAATTATTCTATAAATTTTGCCAAAAAAAAAAGTTTCAAATTTTTAATTTTGTGATAATTCTACAAATTGTAATTCAATTACTAATGTACTTTAATAAGAAATTCTTAAAATTTTTGTAATTTTAAATAGTTTGTATTATTAATTTAATATATTTTATTATTTTTAGTAATTACCCACATAAATATCCATTCTTATTGTAATTTCAAATATTTATGTTCACAATTTTATCTTAAAAAATCAACATAATTATTAAATAAAATATTTATAAATAAATAACCTCATATTTCATTTTTATATATAAAATTTAATAACATTAATAATTTTAAATAATTCATATGCAATTTCAATTTTACATTAAATTTTGAAATTTTTCCACTTGTAATACCAAACCTAGTGCAAAATTTGACCATTAAAAAGTTATAAGTTTTACATAAAAATTAAATATTCTTGTGACGGAAAAGAATGACCGTCGCAAGTCCGTCGCCAAACTCAAAGGTGAAATCTATCTTTGCGTCAAACATCGCAACAACATTAATTTTCGTTGTTGATTCCATTGTCGTAGCGCGACGGGCATGTGGGGCGTCGCATGTTCTTTTGCCAATGTGTTAACATATTTAGCGACGGAATGGATTTCGTCGTGTCATTCTGTAGCGAAAATAAACTTTAATTAAAAAATTAAATATTTAGTGACGAAAATAACGATCATCGCACGTTCCGTCGCCAACCTCAAACGTCAAATCTATCTTTGCGCCAAACATTAAAATAAAATTAATTTCTGTTGCTGATTCCATTGCCATAGCGCGACAGACATATGGGGCGTCGCATTTTCGCCAATGTGTTAACATATTGGCGATGGAATTGATTTCGTCGTCTCATTCTGTAGCAAAAATAAACTTTACTTAAAAAATTAAATATTTTAGTGACAGAAAAACAACCGTCGCAAGTTCCATCGCCAACCTCAAACGTCAAATCTATCTTTGCGCCAAACATCACAACATAATAAATTTTAGTTGCGGATTCCATTGCCATATCACGACAAACATGTAGGGCGTCACATTTTCTGTCGCCAATGTGTCAACATATTTGCGACAGAATTGATTCCGTCGTCCTTTCTGTAGCAAAAATAAACTTTATTTCAAAATTTAAATATTTTCGCGACGGAAAAATACCCGTCGCAATTTTCATTGTCAGCTTCCGTCGTCAATTCCTTGGTGTAAATATTATGTGGGAATATTTTTTCACTTTGCGCCAAATATCACAACAGAATTTATTATCGTCGTCGATTATGTCGCAAAACCGCGATAGAACCATCGACCGTTGCTTTTTCCGTCGCTGTTGTGGTGACAAAACTTAATTCTGTCACAAAATCCGTCACCAAAATGTGGGCGCCAAAATTTTCTGGGTTTTTTCTCAGTTTGCGCCAAAACTCGCTACGGAATTAAATTTTGTCACCATTTTCGACGTAAAATCGTGACGAAACACGTTCCGTAGCTAAAACCGTCGCGAATCAACAACGGATTACGTTTTGTCCCGATGTTTCCATCGCGATTTGTGATTTTTCTTGTAGTGTATTCCTTATAGGACTAGGGACTTGTTTTAGGGATAAGGGTCCATGGTCCACATTGGACCATATTAATTAAAGCGGATCCTAATCATAATCTGGATAGTAAAAGGCCTACTTCCTTTATTCCTAATAGATAACTAGGTCTAGGATTCCTAATTAGGATCTGAATAGTAAAAGGTTTACTTTCTTTATTCCTAATAGGCTTAAGCCTCTAATTTAGGCAAGGGTCCACGGTTCATGGTGGACCCTATTAATTAATTAAAGGGAAACCTAACATAATTAAATCATATTTAATTATTATTAGCGGGATTAATTAAATGATTAATCCAGGATTGAAGGCCGTAACACGGGGTGTTACAACTACGCCTCTTCTCAATACAACATGTTCATGGTGATTAAGATGAAGAACTTGAGAAGAATCACTGCTGCTTAAACGAAAGGACACTGTGATCACACTGTTGTGGGAACAACCGTAAAGAGCGTCATTGAAGTGGACTGCATCAGAGTTGGCTCTCCAAGTGAAGGGATTTCATTGGACTTCTGTATGCATGGCTCTCCACCTTCAACAATCCACTAAACCTGTGTAGACTGGGTACGTACCTTGTGTGGGGCACTTGGGTGAGATTATTGTTTCTCTACCTTTGTACATTGGATTATGATTTAGTGGATTGGACGCCTATGTGATCGTCCCCCAGACGTAGATACAGTGTATCGAACTGGGTAAACATCGTGTGTTTTGCTTTGTGCTGTTATCTCTTTCTTTAAACATCTCTATGATTTGTTTTTACTGACTGACTTCATCGCTGAATCAGTCAGTCCATTTCAGCAGTTGATTAATCCAGTTAATCTGATTAAAAATGAGAAAATGCAAAAATTACATGTGAACAAATGTTTTTCCAAAGTATATACTATAGTATTTTACAGGGTTGAGTGGAGTTATACTTAGCTTCGTGCTAACGAGTGTTTTCTATTTGTCTATTTGCAAAACCCCTTTCAGGTGGGCCCAGCTCTTAAGAGTGCTCGAGTTAGACTAGTGTAGTTAGTCGCTATTTGGTCTAAACTCTTAATCTTTTATCGTTGTTTTTTGGAGTTTATGGATGTAGACATCTTTCATTTTGTTGGTGATAGACACCAAGGTATTTTTCCCCAAGTTATTTTAATGTAGTAAATTTCAAATGTTAGTTTGACTTGATGTTTAGTTTTACCCTTAGTCTGTGCAATCACCATGAGAAGGTGGTTGTGGAGGTGACATTCCTACTAAGTTTGTTAATTAAGTTTGATTTTCCGCTGCTGAGTTTATCTTAATTTGGTTCTAGAACTTTAATTAAGTTTAAGAAAAGTGGGGTGTTACAGTCACAGTGGTCAAAATCATCCTTGAAGTTGAAGTTCCAAACTTGCAATCAAAAACCGACCACTATTTGGCATTTTGATCAAATCTCAGCCTAGGAATGTTCAAATAAAGTGATTCTTAAGCCATTGGAAAGAAGACTTAAAGGGCTACAACTTCCATGAAGACTATAAATCTAAATTCAGAAGTTTTGGAAGTCAAACGACACGGCCAAGTGAATGGCCGTGTTTGTGGCCGTGCAGTTTTTGTGCAATTCCAGTAGCCATTGCCCATTTTGGACACGGCCGTGCCACATATGCTCTGCACTTATTTTAACCCATTTTCACTCATTTTAGCTCGGTTTTGACCTATTGTTAAGCTCTAACTTCTCTTTTTCACTTCCTTTCATATTTTTAGGTTAGATTAGGTTTAGATTTAGGTTCTATTTCATTTTGGAAGCTTGTAATCTTGGATTTGAAGCTTGGATTCCAACATTTCAAGATTGTTCTTCCATTTTCAATAAATAAGTTCTCCTTCCTTTTATCTCTTTATTTTGCAAGATTTATGTTTATTACTTGTGTTTTTGTGTTCTTTATGCTATTTAATCATGAGTGGTTAGTTTATGGACTTGAGTTAGGGTTGTATTATCTATCTTGATGCTTGATTTGTGATTATTGCAAAAGGGGAAGAACTCTAACCTAGGGTTCATGTGTTTGTGAAGGTTTTGTGTTTATATTTTGTTAATGTATGATGTAGTATACATTCATTAGCATGTTTTTGGAGATTTTTTTGCTACAATGAGAATGGGGTCAAGGATTTGAGTCACCCCTTGCATAAACCCAATTTGTTCATATGAAAATAGGAGAAATTTGGGGTTTTAGATGCTTTGTGTGTTTGATGAAATTGGAATTGATACACCATGAGAATGAGGCAATTTTTTTGTTCTAATCCTTGTTTATTGCTTACGAGAGTGGTTGATAAACTAGGAAGTATGGATCACAACAATTAATAGTATTTGTGTTGAATATTTACTTTTATGAAAAAATTGATAATCTTATATTGATATACGCTAGGATACCAAATGATACTTTGATAAATTCTGAAACACTAATTAAAAAAAAAAAACATTTGGTATTGGACTATTCGCGCAATGCGCGTGTGGTACCTAGTATACTAATAAGAGCTAGTAAAGTTAGGCATATAACGAGAACTAAAAAATGTCCGTCCAATTATTTGATGAAATGAATGGTTCAGATTATTATGATTTTAGTATTTTTTTTCCTACTTTACCCTCTATTATATTTTTTTTCCCTTAATTACTCATGCATTCCGTTAGTATAAACTTTAGTAACATAATATTTGGTTAACTATTTATTATTCGATCTTAACTTACTCATTATTTCTATAAGAAAGGTCTTAGGTTAAAACCCGGTCCCAATAAGGGTTGCCATAATTGTTGAACATAAACTACGAATATGTAGAGTATATTTTAAAAATACAGTATAAAATTTAATGTGAACTTTGTATTGGATTTCAGGAATAAGAGCTCTGTGTGTGTTGATTCATGGAAGATGGTAGAACAGAAAAACCGGTAGATTGTTTCATTAACCTTTCAAAGGGGAAAGCATCAGAGTATATATACAGAGCAAGCTTAGCTTTTGGCGAGAAATAAAAGAGGCGCCAAAGGTGGTTATAACCATTTGAGGAGAGGAGGAAAAGACAAGAACACCCTTACTTATGGTGTTGACCTGACCATGCTGCCCTTCACGTCTTCTTCTTCAATATCTTCAATGCCCCCACGTAAGCTTGGAACATATGCATTATGTGTTCCCAGCTTAGATGAGAACTTATGGAATAGAGCAGCTGGAAGAGGTTTTGTGAATCCATCGGCGAGTTGATTCTCTGAGGCAACCGGCATGAGTTTGATTAGGCCTTGACATAGCTTCTCCCTGACAACATGACAATCTGCGGATCTGTTGTCACAGAACACTGTCGCTGGTTTGAGTATGGGAACTTTCAAGTCTTGAATCAGGTATGTTAGCCATTGTACCTCATACAGTTGATGCTAACGCACGGTACTCCGCTTCAGAGCTCGACCGGGAGACCGTTGCTTGTTTCTTGGCTCGCCATGAGATGAGAGATGATCCAAGGAACACACAATATCCAGTTACTGATTTTTGGATTTCTGAGCATGCTGCCCAGTCTGAATCCGAAAAAGCTTTGAGTTGCAAGTTAGAATCTGTAGTGTAGAACAACCCTTTCCCTGGTGACCCCTTTATGTATCTTAATACGATGTGTGCGGCAGTTAGATGTGTGTCGGTACGGGTATTTACATGTTGGCTCAGTTGTTGAACAGCAAAGGCAATGTCTGGGCGAGTGGCAGTGAGATATAATAACCTCCCGATTAACCTTCTATATATACTAGCATCTAGAAGATGATTACCTTCATTAGATATCAGTTTCATGCCTTGGACCATGGGTGTGGTTGATGGCTTACTATCCAAGAATCCGGCTTCCTCTAGAATTTCTAGAGCATACTTGCGTTGACATAAGCTCAAACCATTTCTTTCTTTGTGAACTTCAATTCCCAGAAAGTATCCTAGAGAGCCTAAGTCTTTGATTTTGAAGGCAGTGTCCAGCATATTCTTGAGGCTCTGAATGAGCTCCATATTTGCAATAGTAACCAATATGTCGTCAACATATACCAGCAATGCTATGAAGTATGTGATATCATCACCTTTTGTAAATAATGAGGGGTCAGCAGTAGACTGTTTGAATCCATCATGAAGAAGAGCAGAAGTTAGCTTGGCATTCCATTGTCGGCTTGCTTGTTTTAATCCATATAAGGATCTCAACAGCTTGCATACTTGGTTCGGCTTCTTACTGTCGAAGCCGGGTGGTAGTATCATATAGACTTCCTCATTGAGATCCCCATGGATGAAAACATTATTTATATCCAATTGATGGATGTGCCAAGAATTGGAGACAGCCACACTAATGAAGATGTGAATGGTGGTCAGTCTAGCCACCGGAGAAAAGGTTTCGAGGTAATCAATGCCAAGCTGTTGAGTATACCCTTTTGCAACTAATCTCGCCTTGCACCGTTCAAATGTGCCGTCTGCCTTTAACTTCACCTTGTAAACCCATTTGCAGCCAATGGGTTCCTTTCCAGCTGGTAAATCAGTAAGTTCCCATGTGTTGTTTTCTTGCAGAGCCAAGATTTCAGCATTCATGGCGTTTCTCCAACATTCGTGTTGCACTGCCTGTTTGTAGGTACGTGGCTCGGAGAAGGAAGTCACGGCCATGGAGAATTTTTTGTGTGAATCTCCAAGATTGTCATAACTAATCACCTTTGACAAGCTGTGGGGGGGAAGTTCTGTTTTGCATAACATTGTCGTAGTAGTAACCATCTAACCTGCTAGACGGTTGGCGTTGTCTAGTGGACCTTCTTGGCTGCAAATTAGGACTGGGTGAATGTTGAATTGAAGCTCTGGGGCTGTTAGTATCTTCATTATTTGTGCTACAAGATTCAGTGGCCACACTATCATGGCTGTCCTCATTGTTGTTATGGATGTCCTCATTGTTGTCATGGCTGAAGTTGAGACTGAGGTGTAGAAGAGATTCCCCAGTGTTACTATCATCATTTGCATGGTGTATATGTGCATGCACGGTTGGTGATTCTGCTTGCACATGGGATTCATCATCCCCAATTAATTGAAAATTGTGGCCTTCATGTTCTGTCACTGGAATGTTAAGTAGGGAAGGAGGCACAATGTGTGAATCCGCTTCCTTTGTCTGAGCCATTGGGAATTTGTCTTCATAAAAGATAACATCATGAGATATGAATGTTGAGTTATCAAGAGGGTCATATAACAGGTACCCTTTTACTCCCATCGGAATTCCAATAAAAATACACCTTCTACTCTGGGGTGCCATCTTGTGACGAGAAGGAGATATGATGGCTGCATAACATAGGCATCCGAAGGTTTTGAGATTGTTGATGTCTGGACTCTTTCCATATAACCTTTGATGAGGGTTTGACCATCCAATAGTGGTTGAAGGAAGCCTATTTATGAGGTAAACAGCGTTGATGAAACAGTGCCCCCAGAACTGCAGAGAAAGATTGGCTTGAAATCTGAGAGCACGAGCAACTGCTAGTATATGTTGGTGTTTACGTTCCACTATGGCGTTTTGCTGGGGTGTGTGTATGCATGTCTTCTGATGGATCATACCATTATTGTTAAAGAAGTCATCCATCTTGAATTCAAGACCATTATCACTTCGCAGAGTCTTGATGGCCATCCCAAATTGAGTGAGTACCATCTTATGGAAATTCCTTATGCATTCACGTGTCTCAGCCTTGTTCTTCATTAATCTCAGCCAAGTATATCTGGAATAGTCATCAACGATAGGTAAGAAGTATATTTCCCCACCCAGTGATCTCACTTGAAAGGGACCCCAGATGTCCATGTGAACAAGATCAAAGCATGCTGCTGAAATAGAATTGCTTATAGGGAAAGGGGATCTTCTATGTTTGGCAAGGTGACAGGTGTGGCAAACCAAATTCTTTTAATTAGAAATAGGAATATTGTCAATAAGATGCATCTTATTTACATGGAAATGTCTCAATCTTTGATGCCACAATTCAATGCTATTACACTGCATATCAAAAGCATTACAATCATTAGTGTTATTTCTTGGAGGTTCATTCAGCAGGTAGAGTCCATTTCGTTCCTTAGCAAAGCCAATCATTCTCCCATGGTCCTCCCGAAGAAGACATTGACCATAATCAAACAGCAAAGAGTGAGAAGAATTCTGTAATAATCTGTTAACCGAGATGATATTAAATTTGAAAGAAGGGATGTGTAGAGCATCCTTCAAACAAATACCATTGTTCAATCTTATACTGTCAACATGTTCAATAGCAGCATAGTTCCCATTAGGCAGATTTACTTTTGCTCCATTCACAGATTGGTATTTATCAAAGAAACCAAGATAGCACACTATATGATCAGTGGCTCCAGAGTCGACAATCCAAGCACTTGAATCTAATATAGCAGAATTAATGCTCATGTGATTAACATACTTGCCTTCATTGCTTGAGGTTTCTTGATTGAATCTTGGAACAAGAGTTGCTGCTGCAGTAGAAAGGGGTTGATTCTGCATTATCTGACTTTGGAGGAGAGATATGAGGCTTCGAATTTGCTCTGAACTGGAGTTGTTTGGATTTTTCTCAGTAGTTCAATCAACCATTGACTTGAAGCCTGGCACCCACCCCAGTGGGTAGCTATGCTTCTTGTAGCATTTTTCGATGGTATGCCCCGTCATACCGCAAAAAATACACTTAGCATTGTTCTTGTTACCACCTTGTGAGTTCATCACCCTTTTTCCATTTGAGAAGTTCACAACAGCATTCAAATCTTCTACAGTATTCTGCCTGTTTTGAATAGCATTAATCTGCATCATCTCTGGATTTGCCATGGTCATATTTGTGATGGTTAGTTGTCTTTCGAACTTTTCGGCCATCACAAATACTTTGTGTAAATCAGGTAAGGGATCCAACACCAACACTCTGGATTTAAGAGTGTTGTAATCTTCATTTAACCCCTGGAGGAATCGAATGATTTGATCGACTTCTCGATCTCGCCTAATCTTGTCAAGGAGGTTGCAAGAGCACCTCGGCTCACATTTGCAGATTGGAAGGGGTCACAGTGCGTTCATCTCTTCCCAGAGGATCCAACATTTTGTATAGTAGTCGTTAACACTCATGTGTCCTTGCTTCAGATTGGAGATGTCGTTCTGCAAGAAGGAAATTCTATGCGCATCGTGTTGAGAGAAGCGTCTCTTGAGATCGTTCCAGATATCTTTAGCTCTGTCCATATGCATGATGCTCTGCGCGATCGATGCGGTGACAGATTTTAGGATCCAAGAGCATACGATCAAGTTACATCTCCTCCAAGCAGCGAATTGCGGATGAGTTCTCTCCGGCGGTGCTAGGGTTCCGTCAATCAAACCCCACTTGTTTTTGACCTCCAACGCCACTTGCATGGAGATCCGCCACGAAGCATAGTTTGCGCTTCCTGATAGCGGAGGACTCACCATCACTGCATTTGGATTCTCATTGACGTTTAGGTATAGCGGATTCTCCAAATCGTCCATGTTCCTCTGCGGAACGGAGCTTCTCTGTCGCTCAGCTTCTGGAGTTCCCTGCGTCGTGTTCTGGTTGATCGAAGGTGGCGGATTGGAATCGCCGGAGGCGTTGAGTGCAGCGGCGTAGCTACCGTATCGACGCTCTGATACCATATTGGATTTCAGGGATAAGAGCTCTGTGTGTGTTGATTCATAGAAGATGGTAGAACGGAAAAACTGGTAGATTGTTTCATTAACCTTTCAAAGGGGAAAGCATCAGAGTATATATACAGAGCAAGCTTAGCTTTTGGCGAGAAATAAAAGAGGTGGCAAAGGTGGTTATAACCGTTTGAGGAGAGGAGGAAAAGACGACAACACCCTTGCTTATGGTGTTGACTTGACCATGCTGCCCTTCACGTCGTCGTCTTCTTCAATATCTTCAATACTTTGGTCAAATGATTAGCCTGATTAAATACATAACATTCAAAGTTGAGTATCAAAGATTACAAATAATGAACCTTAGCTTGAAAATCATCTTCTTGCATTTAAAAAAATTAGGTTAAACTTTTTTGTTTTTTTTTTTCCTTTTAATTAATCTTCTTTTGATTATTTAAAACAATATTCAATATTTCAATTATACTTTTGCATTATTAGGAATGATTTAGATCATTATGGTATTAATATTTTTTGTGTATATTTCTATAATGGTACAATTGTACATTACTTTTCAAATATTGTACTATTATTCTTTTATTGGTCAAAATTGTCTTACATCATTGTTAGACTTACGCGACCTAACTACAAAGTTGTTTATCAGAAATACAACTACACATGGATTCTAAATGGTAGGACCATTGTCCTAAGAATTGACAATGTTTACACCTCACTGGCTCCAATTGAACATGTTTACACATTATTCTCAGAATTTTATCAATGCATGAAAACTTCTAAATAAATTTGTAAGTTAATTTTTTACTATATCATTATAACAATATCTATTGTAATCATATATTTCGAATTATTTATCATCATCCTCTATTGATAGCAATTGTCATTGACAAACTCCCAAAATTATTTGTCTCAACAACGACAATAATGGTTGAACCAAAAGTACCTCGAGTAGAACACCTAAAGAACTGGTATGCTTTATATTAATAATAATATGTAAATGGTAATTAAATCATTATTTTACGTAGTTACATTTAAAACTCGTTATTAAAAATGTCAATGTAGGACAATAGAACATCGTGAAATACTTTGATGCATTGAAGAGATGTCGAGACTACAACAATGCTGCAATCAATCTTACAAATTCAGAAAAATGAAGAAATTTCAAAAATAGCCATCGTTACATCATTCATTGGTCCTATATGTAAAATATTTATTCTGTGCATCATTTAAATATATTAGAACTAATATAAATTTACAATTCATTTCATTTTATAGACTCAACCTGCTTGGATTAAAAGCAAAATCAACATCAACCTTGACAACAAAAACACTTGGTATATAATATGTAGCCACTGTTTAAAAAAGGTTTATGCACAATGTGACAAACTATTTAATTGCATGCATTGTGGTGAAAAGACAGCAGTGGATACTCCGGCCAACTCAATTCAACCAAAAAAAATACAAAAAATACACGTACACATACACAAAATCAAGTACTACACTCATTCATATTAATTTAAAAATATGTAATTCAAAACGAATAGATGCAAAATGGATATGAGTTGAGTGGCTAACCCTTATTGAACTAAATTGGTAATAAAACAATAACACGTCTCCTATCAATTGCAAAGTAATTTTAAGGCAGCGTGACTACTGGAAATTATGATATTTCCGACCACCTGAAACTGATCTTAAATCAAGTCAAAATCCTTGTTCCGACCATTTTTGGTATCCGGAAAAATCTTTGTTGCTATTTCTGACCACTTTTTGGTATCTGGAAAAACCTAGATTACTTTCAAATGGTCGAAAATTCCATAATTTTCAATAGTGCGTGGCGGGACTTATTGGAAAATAAAATTGTAGTAGTATCTGTATTTTCCAATCTATGTGTTACAGTGGCAGTGAAGGTTAAAGGACCAGTACAGTTGTGGCGTTCTACATTTATTTGGACAGTTTTGTTTGCGCCCGCCCACATTTTAATTTGAAATAGTCGAGGTGACCTGCA